ATGTTACACCTGTCTCACACTCTTTCTTCATCATCCTCTCTTTCTGTCCATGAAGCCATCCATCAGCATGACTGTCAGAGCATCCTCTCCCTTCATCCTCCTTCGTTCTCCTCACTTCTGCTCAGTCACTGGGGGCCTGCTGCACATCTCGAAGAGCATGCCATATGTGTTTCATTTCCTGCCTGACTTCCTGTTTCCTGTGTCAAATCCTCCTCAGAGTTTGTTTGTTAACTTAACCATAAGTCTGTTAACATCCACTAACATAAAAATTCTAAAAGGTGAATTTCAAGAAAAAATGTATGGATGATATTTATACCCCAAAATATTTAGGACTATTAAGATGTTCTGCATTGTGACATTATTTTCATGATTTAAGCACATTTCCCCATAAATTTGTAATATGGAAAAATCTTTTACTTTCATAAAGTAATAAAGTAATCCTGGCCATTTTGTTTTATTAAAATCAGCCTAAAAATAAATTTAAATAATAAAATAAAATAATGCAAATAAATAAATACGTGTATGTAATATATACTGACAATTGCAAACAATTACAAAAGGTGAAAATGACACCATGTAAACAAAATGTTAATGGTCCTAAAAATGTTTTATTTTTCATCCACATTATATTATTATTATTATTATTTCTTTTAGTTTCAGTTAAGGTAAAAATACCTGGGAAATCTCTTCAGTTTTTTTGAGATTCAGCCAAATAGTAGCAGGCTACATAAAACCAGTTGTGTGACATCTATAAAGACGTATGTTCATTGTTATCTGAAACAAAAGCCATAATCAGCTTCCTCTGATTTATGACAATTACTCTGCGCAGCATTTGGCCCTGGGTGTTGATCTGAAATATCTAGGCATCCACAGTGAGACAATATTAAAGTAATTGAGCGTTTGAGGCAGACAGCTCTTATCTGCGAGCGTGGAGTGCTTCCTCTCCGTATGTTGATATGCACTCAGCACTCTGACCCAATGACCGACTGTCGGTCACCACTCATTTTTTTTTCCCATTAAAAATGAGGCAGAGACACTCAGGAAATAACCCAGGAATTAGAGATGAGGGACCAGCGAGAGGAAATCAATAGGAAGCCAATATGTTACATGAAAAATCTGGTGCGGTGATGTGGCCTGCTGAAAGTGGGGAGCGATGGAGAGAGAAACCCGGCTCAGTGCTCATGGGACTTCCTTCTTCTTGACCAATAATGAATAGAAGTGATACTAATGTTTGACTGAACATTGTTTAATGTTTGAGAGCAAAAATTATTTATCTAAGCTCAAGCTATTTTTGTTTAGGTGTTGGCAAGCAAGTTCATTTGGGTCAGAATATGTATACACTGCATGCACTTTTTATTAGCATAGCTGTTTATATGTAATTTGTCTCGTAAAAATAATGTCCGCATAAATGTGCGTCGGTCCCCATAGGCACATGAAGTAAACACTGAGTCGCTCATCGAAACACTACACGGTCAAATAGAAACTGCTTTAAATGACCTGTTTTTATTCAAGTCAAATATATTATTTAATATGACTGGATTATACTGGATTACCCCAATGGAAGTCATTTTTTAAGAGTAAAAATAGCTCCAACCACATGCATACACTGAGTTTGTCCTCTACGCTCTTCATGTAAATGCAAAATCCCTCCAACTGTAAGAATATCCTGACCGTCTTCTCCGAACCCGTGGAGCTTTGTCCTCATGGGAGAGAAGCATTAGCTAATGTGTTGCGAAGCCGTCCTATAGTGTTATCACTAATTGGATTGATGAATTGTTCATATAATGGCTCCCTGATGGGGAGACTGATATACAGCCTGTAAAGCAAGTCACTATTTATCCTGACAATGACTCCAATTAAACACGGACGACCTGCAACCTTAGGTGGATCATACGGAATAAAGATTATCCTCACCCACTCACAGGGAATTGTACATCCTTCTGATTAATGTACAGCTTCGGTGTGATCGAAACCACAGAGAATTATGGAATATACTGTACACTACTGCATTCGTTTAGTCTCTCCATCCCTCCTTTAGTTGATTGAAGCCATATTTTACCCTGTTGTTTGGATGTGATCCATGAGCATTGTCTTTAGTTAACCCTTACGTTTCTATGCATAGATTCACTTCAGAATTGTTGCTCAACATTTCAGCGCATCAGGATTAAAATCCTTAATTAAAACTAAAACTAATTTTAAACACACACGCACAAGACAATTTGACATTTTGGGCAACTAATGGAAATGATTTTGATAATTTGAAGTCCTAAAATTACTAACTTGAAATAAAACTGAACTACAATGAAAACTGAAATAAAAATACATTCCAAAAATACAAAAATAAATAAATAAATAATGAAACTAAAATGTATATGAAAACTGAAAATATATAAATAATACTAAAATAACACTGAACTGTATTGTGATTTTCAGACATATAATGGGAAGTCAGCACAAAGCAATACAATATTTCTTTCTCTCTTTGTCTTATTTGTTCATATCATTTGAGTACGACATGCTTTCCAGATGCTTTTCTTTTGGTTTTGTTGCATGACAGATGAAGCCAAACAATCCCATGTCTCACTCTCTTTCTCTCTCTTTCTCTCTTCTCATGACTATAGTGATCCCAGGGATGATTGTTCCTCCCATGTAGGGGCTCCTGGGCCGCTGAAGAGGCACATTTGATTTCAGCTCTCGCCAGAGAATCTACTCTCTGGGCTGAAGGCAATTTCTGGTGGAGGAGACATGAAAACTGAACTTTTAAAACTCAGGCCTTTTTTTGCCCATGCAGAAAGGAGAGATGAAACTCCTTTTCATTTTGTTCATGGGCTTTTTGGATGAATTTAATGATCACATGTCTTTTTTACAGACTGTATCACACAAACATGACACTTTAGGAGCGGGTGCATCCGTAATGTTTCTGAGAGCAGCGACGGGCAACAGCACAGATCTCTGTTAATACTGACCAGTTTTTATATAAATAGACACATTGGTGCAAAATCCAAATGAGAACAACGGCCAATTGTTTGGACGCAGAAAAGAAGAGGGGAGGGTTATTGTTTTTGTTTTTTTTTGTCCCAGAGAGAAGCCAACAAATAGTTTGCCATAATGTTGTTTGTTTTCATACAAAATGAAATTGTAGCGCCATACTCACTTCCCTATTGTTTTTATTTTTAAGCATAGAGTCATACAAAGCATCTGGGTACCAGCCGGTTTGAATGGCTATGATGTAGGCAAGTTATTTAAGAGTTATTAAATGCTGTCATGCTGTAATTTTTCAATGTCCAGATCCATCCTCAAAGAGAAGAAAAAGTGACCCAATTTCCACAACAAATCAGTATTTATGTTCTTGCAAATATTTGCTGCTAAATAGAGCAGATATATGCAGTAAACAGATGGACTGAAGGAAAAAGACCTCAGTTGCCATGCCATTTAAAAAAAAAAAAAAACCTTTTGAATTTTATGTGTGCTCAAAGAATGTGCTGATTTGTCTTTTTTGTTTTTGCTTTGTCTATGAAAAAAATGAAACTGTGATATATACATTTTAATGTGTTTGGTTTGCTGTGTTTGCTAGTGAAGGATATAGGTTAAATGAAGTATAAGAAGAATACTTTTTCAGAGTGCCGACTGTTAAAGCAACCCGCTTTTCCTTTTTTGTGTGTTTCTTTGGCTTGTTTTGGGGGACATGACTTGAATTAGCAAAGTATTTTCATGTTTAGACAGCACTGTATGAAGAATGCTTTCCAAATGTGTCAAACACCCAACATACAGCAGTTTGATTGGCTCACTTTGGTAGTCGTCTATTTTTGTACATATACTTTCTGTTGCCATAGTCTTTGTTTTATTTGTATTTATCTCAGAATGGCATAAGGCAGCTCATAATAACACTGACGATCGGTTCATTGCATAAGTTACACAAAATCTCACCAACTTCAGCAAACACAAATCATGGATTCTGGACAAAAAGAGGGGAGTCTCTGTAAAATATCCATATAAATAATGTATGTATATCCAGATTGTGTATATTGCTTTTCTCCCCATTGTGGAAGGTTTTTTGTGATTGTTTGTCCATCTGTTCGCTTTCATCACCGGTTCATTGTCTTTATTGTTCATGTTTTTGTTTGAATTTAAGTCCATGTTTATTCGTAAAAAGCCATTGTCTATTTTTGTATAATTTGTAAGTTAAGAAGCAATTGTTTTCCTTTTGAAATTTTTTTATGTATGGCAAAAAAGTAGCATCTCACAGCATTTAATTATGTAGATTTTTTTTTTTTATTATATATATAAATATATGATGAATTTATAAATCTATATCTTTTCTTTGAGGCTTACAGAACCTGTACTATTGTAATAATATGCATGGGCTCTTCTCTGAGAGTGATGGTTTTATTTTGCGTGTCAAACCTAGAAGGACGTTTCTGATTAAGTTTTAATCTACGTTCTTTTTCGTCTTTTCTTTCCTCTTTAATTTATCTGATTTATGCCTGCTTATAGATCTGTCTATTTCATTCTCTCTCTCACGTATATCAGTACCAGCAGTACAGATGCCTTAAAAATGCAAACCCATAAACGTACAATCACTTGTACAGACTTCACAACCACCACTACCAGTGACAGTAGCCACAGAGTTCCTTAAGGGATTTCTTTCCAGAAAAAAGCACAAATCGGTCTGTTTTACCTAAAGCGAGGAGGGTTAAATTAATTATTTGTCCTTTTTCTGTTGTTTGTATTATGAAGGATAATGAGAAGGAACTTGAAGGATTATAAAGAGAGACTATATGATTTATATTTTATGTGTTGCTAGTGCCATGGATTGCACTTTCTCGTTAATTTAAAGCAAAAGGCTGCCTTTTTTCATTTGTTTATGTCTGCTGCGTTCTTGAGAGGGGGAGAAGCTCAAAGCCATATTCTACAGTGTCACCGTTCACTCTGAGGGGACGTGGAAGTGCATGTGAACCTGCATGTTTTGGGTCGTGCCATAGCACTTTGTAAGGTACCGTTGATGAATTTCTCACCCTGAGCAAAGTGACTCGATATCAGAGCACAACGCCTTGCCCCTGGAGCTGAGGTTCTGACTCCCAGTCTGTAACGCTGTGACTCGAGTCTAATTCTACTGTCAGCCGAATCGGCCCTCGATGATCGGTCTTCAGGGTTCTTTCATGAATGGTTTAAGTGCTGTCTTCTGTAATTTGTGTCTGCAGTCTGCCATCTGACAGAAAAAATGGCTTTTAATATGCTGATGTGTGAGGACTTTTTATCAGAAATGACTGATGATAGACCATTCATGGTGTTTTTCTTTTCCATATGTGGCTTTGTTAGCGGCTCAATCGCAATGAATAAGATGGACTCCTTATAAAACGACAAGCATTTGATAGGACACAAGACTCGAACCAAAAAGCTGGTCTCCTTTTTTCCTGCCTCCTATTCTTGTGTTTGTTTGTTTAATTTTAATTATAATTTTTTTTGACTGGATACACACTGAACCGTTCTATTAATAGGAAAACTCAAGACAAAAACTACTGTATAGATTGTTATCATTTTTGATGAAAGCTGTAAAATACCTTTTCAAAGTTCACAATATTAAATTAAAGTTACTTCTTGTCTGTGATTTTTTTTTCGGAGTGTCTTTTGTCTTCCTTGAGCCTTTCTTCCAGAAGCAGGTGTTTGGGGGCATGTTAGGACAATAGATGTTACAAAAGTAACCCAGCATGTTATTTTTGTGCCAACGAGCGTTTCCTTAGAGCAAGATTACAACCTTCACGTCGGGGCCTTCCATTTTTCCCCGATTTCCATTCTGAGCTTTCGAGATCGTGGGATAAACCGTATTCGTCGAGCAAAATTCCCAGCTGCCGCCCAGCGACTGTACGGCACGGGAAAGCTCGCCCCCTCAGATGAGGGCGCTAGAGAGCATAGATCGGTTTTTCGGCTCTTTTAGTAACACCAGACGCCAGTCTCGAGAGACTGGTTCCCTTAGTAGATGTTCTGGCAGCGTGGAAACTTCTGCCGAATGTCTCACAATGGGTCCTGCAGACTGTAGAGAGAGGTTACAGAATTCAGTTCGGTTCTCGTCCACCTCGCTTCAACGGGGTTATTCCTACATTAGTGGGCCCCGAGCAGGCTCTGGTATTGGAACAAGAAGTAGAAACTCTTTTGAGGAAGGAGGCCATAGAACGTGTTCCCCCTCTCGAGAGAGAATCAGGGTTCTACAGCCGTTACTTCATCTTTCCGAAGAAGGATGGGGGGTTGCGTCCGATCATAGATCTGCGCCTACTGAACCGCGCTATCAAACGATTTCGGTTCAAGATGCTTACGATCAAACAGATTGTGTCTCAAATCAAGTCCGAGGACTGGTTTGTCACGATAGATCTCAAGGACGCATACTTCCATGTATCCATTCTTCCTCAACACAGGAAGTTCCTGAGGTTTGCTTTCATGGGTCGAGGCATACCAATATCGAGTTCTTCCGTTCGGTCTATCACTCTCACCCCGCACTTTCACGAAGTGTGTGGATGCGGCGCTGGCTCCGCTGCGACTCCAGGGCATCCGCATACTGAATTACATCGATGATTGGTTGATTTTAGCTCAGTCAGAGCAGATGGCGGCTCGGCATCGAGATGTTGTCCTTGCACAGATGAGAGAACTGGAGTTACGGCTGAACGCCAAGGAAAGTGTGCTTTCTCCAATACAGAGAACCACTTACCTAGGCGTGGTGTGGGATTCGTCAACAATGCAGGCACAGCTGTCGCCTGCTCGTATCGAAGCAATTCTCACAGCCGTGAGAGGAGTGAGAGAAGGCCAGTCACTCACTGTCAGACAGTTTCAAAGACTGTTGGGTCTGATGGCAGCTGCGTCCAACGTGATACCTTTTGGCCTGCTGTACATGAGACCCTTGCAGTGGTGGCTCAGGACCAAAGGGTTTTCTCCGAAGGGCAACCCGCTTCACACAATCAAGGTCACGCGGCGATGCTTATGTGCCTTAGACATGTGGAAGAAACCTTGGTTCCTGTCTCAAGGCCTGTCGCTGGGGGCTCCTTGTCGTCGTGTAACGCTAACGACGTACGCCTCCCTCACAGGTTGGGGAGTGGTCATGAGTGGCCGCTCGGCCTGAGGTCGGTGGGAAGGCCATCATCTCATGTGGCACATCAACTGCCTGGAGATGTTGGCCGTGTTTCGAGCTCTAGAACACTTCCTTCCTTCTGGCGCGCCAGATCCTTCTGTGGGCTCAGGGAAAGCTTCCACAGAAGCTAACAGGCGCGCTGGCCGGATGTGCCTTTATGCTTCCTGGCTGCTTACGTCACCCCGCTCGTGACGTCTCGCGTCGCTATTGGACTGATTTCACACAGGCTTCAGTACGGTGTCTCGCCGAGGTCATTCCCAAAGCGTTCGACACAGCGTCTCGTTCCCTTCGGGGAACCATGGTTACATACGTAACCTCGAGACGTTTTCATGCGGAATTGGGCTACAACACTGTTGCCAGGGGTTGTTTTTCATGTCCGCGGGTTTAAGCGACCCCAATAACACGATATTTAGCCCCTAAAATGCAAATTTAACCAGTGGAACCCTGCCAAAAAATGTGTATGCTTTATTGATCAAAAATATTATTTAATTTGAATGCACCAACCTGAATACATTGCCAGTCAAACGTTCTGAATAAATCATCTATTTTTCAACTATTTTGAAAAAAAAAAGCTGCTTATGCTCACCAAGGCTGCATTTATTTGATCAAAAATAAAGTAAAAACAGTAATACTGATAAATATAATTATAATTTAA